ATGACTCCACTGCACCAGTATTTTGGAATTAAATATCATATTAAAGAAGTCTGAAAATGTTATGTCAGTGGAGTAGCCCTGGCTGATGTGGCTCAGTTGACTGGGCATCATCCTAGGCACTGAAAGGACGCTGGTTTGATTCCCGGGCATGTACGGGCTTGATCCCTGGTAGGGGGCATGCAGGTGAACAATCCCATACTTTGATTCTCTTTTTCTCCCCTTCCTCTTTTAAAACAAGTAAGTAAAATAATCCCACTTCTAGAAACAGAAGAAATCAGAAACACCAATCAGAAAGGATATATGCATCTCTATGTTCATAGCAACACAATTTATAATATCGATAGCTAAGATCTGGAAACAGCCCTAGTGTCCATCAGTAGGTGAGTGGATAAAAAAGCTGTGGCACATTTACACCATGGAATACTATGCAGCAGTAAAAAAGAATCTCATCCTTTGAGATAGCATGGAGGAACCTGAAGAGTATGCTAAGTGAAATAAGTCAGTCAGAGAAAGACAACTATCACATGATCTCACTCATATGTGAAATCTAATTAACAAAATAAACTGAACAGAATGGATCCAGAGACATGGAAGCATGGGACAGAATGCAGAATCTTGGAGGGAAGGAGGAAAAGGGTGGGTGGGTGGGAGGTAATCAACCAAAGACCCTGTATGCATGTATGTATAAACCATGAACACAAACAATAGAGTGGTGAAGGCCTGGAGCAGGGGTGGGGATGGGCTGGAGTGGGTCAATGGGGGAAGGATAGGGACATATATAACACTTTTAACAAAGATTTAAAAAAAATAAAAACAGGGTACACACAAAAAATACATTTGGAATGTGACACAATGAACTTATGAGAAAACATTAAATTTGGTTATAATCCATATTCACTTAACTAGAATTAAAACTTGATATTAAAAGAACATTAAAATCTTAAAATTTATCATAAATTTTATTTTGAAAAGTAAAGTAGACCTATTGATCAAAATTGTTTATAAATTACAAAAGAGAAAATGCTAACACATACACTTTATGTATTTATTAGAGGCCTGGTGCATGAAATGCATGCACTGGAGAAGGAGTCCTCAGGGGCGGGAGGTAACCAGGCAATCAGGGAAAGGCGACGCCCCATCATACCTCTGCTGCTGCCACTTTGGTTACCTGAGCTTTAGGCAGCCCTGGGCAGCTAGGCAGCTGCCATCTGAGGCTTGCCTGAACCTCAGGCTGGCCCCCGGTTGCTAGGGGGCTGAGGGAACTGGGGGACTTAGTAGGCAGGTGTGCGGAGCTGAGGAGACTGGGTGCCACCATCTTGTGGCTGTGGGCACCAACATCTTCGAGGGCATGGCAGTCAATTAGCACATTTCTTCCTTATTTGCTGTGGGTGCTGCCACCTTTGCAATGGCATGGTCAATTAGCATATTCCTTTATTAGACAGGATGTGATCATGTTAGACATAATATAATTCAGAAGAAACAATGTCCAAATAATGAAAAAATCATCTATAGAACCTCTTAATATTTATGCTTTTAAAACTTAATTCTTAAGGGAGAATCCAAGATGGCTGCTCGGGTAGGCATCTAGCCGCAGGTGCATGCAACATTTTCAATAAAATACAACTAAAATATAAAATGGACATTACCCAGAACTACAGGAAAGTCGACTGAATGGAAATTCTACAACAAGAAGCAAGGAGGAAACCAGAAGGAAGAACGGAGGAGCTGTAAAAGCCCAAGGTACGGAGACACATGGCGCAAGGAGAGGACGGAGCCGGAGAGGAGGAAGGCTGACTGCCTGGCTGGCGTTCCCAAGAGGGAAGGAGATAAAACTCCGACTGTGCTGGGCCCCCGACTGCTCTGAACCCCAGTTCTAGGCCAAACCCCGGGGACCCAGGCTCACACAGAGAGAGCCGGGCTGAAAGGCGGAACCCCGGGGGAGCGGCGAAAGGGGGTCCCGGCGGCGCCGGGCATAGAAGGGATGGTCAGCTGTGCCGCGGGATTGCCCTGGCGGGAAGGAGACAGGGGCTCCAGTCTGCTCTGAACGTCAGCTCCAACTCCCACTTCCAACTGAACTGAACCCGTTTCGGGCCCATTGGGGGAGAGACTAGACTGTTTGGCAGCAGGCGAAAATCGAGGGCACCTTTCTCTCAGAGGCGCTTGCAAGGAGTACTGAAGGACCCTGAGTCTCAGGAGCCGCATAGGGCGGGGCTGACGGAAGCCAAAGCTGTAGGCTCCACCCTGAAACCCCGCCCCATCAGGAAAGCTGCCTGCGAAAATGCCTAAACCAAATAGATCACAAACGAAAGAAATGGAGGACAAAAAGCGACTGGATATAGAATTCAAAACCACACATAAGGTTTTTCAAGAGTTTCCTAGAAAAGGCTGATAAAATAAATGAGACTTATGAGGATATGAAAAGGGATCAACAAGAAATAAAGAATACATTGTCTGAAATAAAAAATATTATACAGAGTCCTAAAAACAGAATAGAAGGTCGCAAGAATCAAGTCAAAGATTTGGAACATAAAGAGCCAGAAGTCACTCCTCTGCAGAAGCTAGAAGGCAAGAGAATTCAGAAAATTGAAAATGATGTAAGAAACCTCTGGGACAACTTCAAACGATCCAACATCAGAATTATGGGGGTCCCAGAAGATGAGAGAGAGCAAGATATCGAAAACATACTGAAAGAAATAGTGACAGAAAACTTCTCCCACCTGGGGAAAGAATTGGACTTACAAGTCCAGGAAGCACACAGAACTCCAAATAAAAGGAATCTAATGAGGACCACACCAAGACAAATCATAATTAAGATTCCAAGAGCAAAAGACAAAGAGAGAATATTAAAAGCAGCAAGAGCTAAGCAGGTAGTTACCTATAAAGGAGCACCTATATGATTGTCAGCTGATTTCTCAACAGAAACCATGCAGGCCAGATGGGAATGGCAAGAAATATTCAAGGTGATGAATAGTAAGAACCTACAGCCAAAGATAATCTATCCAGCAAAGCTATCACTCAGATTCGAAGGTCAGATAAAGAGCTTCACTAATAAAAAAAAGCTAAAGGAGTTCATCACCACCAAGCCAGAATTATATGAATTGTTAAAGGGGGTTCTTTCAGAAGAGAAAGTAAATGATAAAAATTATGAACAACAAATACGTAACTATCAACAAGTGAATCTAAATACCAAGGAAATTAAAAAAAAAATCTGAGGAACAATATTAACTGTTGAATATAATAGAATCAGAGGTATGGAAGGGGAGTGAACTGATGATTCTTGGGGAAAAGGGGAGATGGGGATGTGGGAAGAGACTGAATATAAACTGTGCACCTATGGATGAGGACAATGGGGGGTGGGGAAAGGGCAGAGGGTGGGGTGGGAAGGGGGGGGGGGAGGAACATTTGTAATAATATGAACAATAAAAATTTATAAAAAATAAAAATAAAAAAATAAAATAAAATAAAACTTAATTCTTAATACAGATTTCTAGCCCAACAAAATAAACTTAATGGCTTTTCAAGACACCATTTCTATAAAAAATACTAATACTTACTTGTTCAGATGTTGGTTATGCACAGAACTTATTTGTTTCATAACAATTCCGTTGGGACTTTCCCAAAATATCCCAAGCAGAGCTCATTATAGTTTCTGACTAAAAATTTGAAAACTACTACACACTCTAAATTTGAATTTTGAATAGTCAAGAATAGTCACATACCACGAACACACACACACACACACAAAAAAAATGGCTAAAGAACCCCGTACTATGTGCCAGACTCTTGATGTAACACTCTATGTAACTCATCCAATCTTCACAAGCTGTAAGGTAGGCACCATTAGCATCACCACCCTATATAATAAAACACTGATATGCAAATTGACTAAACCGCAGAACAGCCAGTCACTATGACCTGCACTAACAACCAGGGGCAGATGCTCAATGCAGGAGCTGCCCCCTGGTGGTGAGTGCCCTCCCACAGGGGAGTGCCTCTCAGCCAGAAGCTGGGCTCATTGCTGACAAGCACAGCAGCAGTGGTGGGAACCGCAGCAGCACTAAGGACCCTGAGGGGGATGTCCACCTATGGCTTAGGGCCAATTCCTGTGAGAGGGCACAGGTTGGGCTGAGGGACCATCTCCCGCCCCTCCAAGTGCATGAATGTCATGCACCAGGCCTCTAGTTTACAGATGAAACAACTGGGGGCCCAGAGAGACTGAATAATTTACCAGGAAGCCAGTCTAGCTCAAGTCCGTGTTTTCAAGCACTACACACTTTTTGCTTCTTAAAATGGAAGTTACTCCCCAGGAAATGTAATGGAATTATATTTTCATACACATCTATTTCCTTAAGGAAGAGTTCTCAAAAGAGAACTGAAGAAACACTACTAATATTACATATTAATAGAAGCATGGTTTTCTTTTTTAAAAATAGGAAAATTAACTAAATAATATTTAAAATACAATGTACTAATATGACATAGAATACTCTGATTGTAGTGACTGAAGTATCTAAATCCATCTTTTAAAAACATGAACTTGTTTTTATCAACATGTTTTTATTTTTATCAACGTTTTAATTTATATAAGAGCACTTATATAAGAATACAAAAGTATATACTAATGAGTACTACCAAAATTAAAAGCTTTATTTTACTCATTGAATGTATATGTATATACCACGAATTGACATAGATATAGACAATGGTATAATTCTAAAAGTAATTATTACCATTTGCTCTGTACAGTTCATTTATTAAAGTACATTTTAATCTTCTTTCACCTGCTCCTCCTTGTGGCTGCTGTTTTAATAAACTGCCACTGGGTAGCAGCCTGAAAATGTCCCAGAACTTCAGACCAGGGAAGGGCCCAGCAAGAAGATGGAAGATCAAGAGACACCACATCAATGTTGAGCTCTGTGAAAATTCCACACCATTTCTCCCAGGCAGTCCAAAGATCATTTTATAGAATAAAACCAGTTCATGAAGGAAAGCAGTACCCATTATGCCTGTGTATTAACTGTTCTTTTCCCATTGGTGTTTGTGGAATTTTCTGGACTTTTTATGGATTCCAACAAGTTTTTAATTCTCTCACTTGCAGGCTTCTTCCTTTTCTTCTTGCCATGAGACGTACTCTTGGCTATGGAAGGTAGCAGCAAGGCTGCCAGCCCCCATGGCTGATTACTTGACGGGGAAGGGTGATCTTTCTCTTCCTGATGTAAAATCCAGGCACTTTCTCTGGCCAGATCCACAAATTTTTGCAGTTGGCTTTGACTTACATTTTTACTGATGTTGAGAGAAGTTTCAAAAGGATTCTGAATGTGCAATGGAGAAGATTCAGGTTTGTTCTGTTCTCTTCCCTAGATTATTACAAGGAAGAAACATCAATGCATGCCTCCTACTGGGGACCAAGCCTGCAATCCAGGCATGTGCCCTTGACTAGAATCAAACCTGAGACCCACAGACCTACCTTCTATTCACTGAGCAAAACCAACTAGGGCCTCTGTTCCTCTTTTAAAATAATAAAAATTAAAAAAAACATGTAAAATACCAGAATTAAGTTTACAGAGTAAACAATTTCTTTCCTAAGAGGATTAGGAATACATTTGTGTATATGTGTGTGTATTTCTAAATTATTTCTTTTCCATTGTAGTTTTATGAGTATTCTTGAGAGGAAAATTAATTTGGTTGATGAGCTATGGATGCTGCTACTCAGGTGACAATATCTAAACTAATTCAATCAATAATAAGTATTTTTAAAATAGCAAATCTTTTACTTAACAGGACAGATCTGGGAAGAAAAGAATGAAAAAGAAAAATGGCAGAATATAAGGTAAAGATATATTTATGTTTGAAAGACTGAGAATAGAACATACAAAATTAGAAACCTTAAATAAAATATAGTAATTAATGTTTCCTGAATATAAAATCAGAAAGGAAGAAAAGGAACAAAAGATTATTCATTAATCATTTCAAAACATTGTTTCCTATTTCTTCTTTCCTAAAGATCCAACAAAATAAGGCTCTGCCAGGTATGGCATCTCATAGAAAGAAAAAAAAAATAGCTGATGCTCTGACTCATATGAGCAGCAGTGATTCATTGACTGATATTATTGTCTTCTCTTTCAAATGATATCACACATTACTTAAAAATTACAAAACAAATGGTCAAGAGTCTCCAATGTGAGCGAGCACCCGTTTATTCTCTAACTTTTCTCATGTCACTGTCAGCAGGGCTCCTGCCTGTCCATGATCTCTAAGCCCTAGGGGTAAGAGTACAAAAAGGATAAAGAATTTCATCAGTTCAGTAACCTTTTTCTAATCTGAAATCTAATTACAAATCAGATTGCATTCCTCTTCCCCACACTTCTTAAAATATCTCCATCAGCAGGACAAAAGTTAGGGAAGAATGAACAAAGTTGAGTTGAAGAAACAGCAAATAAAAAGTATGTGTTTTATGAAATCACTCTAACAAGGGTTGTAACCAAATGTCCAAATGATAAACAGAATAAACCCAAACAGAGAACTTACTCAAGTTTCTCCACCATTTTATAAACAAATTTTGCCTGTGTCTACTCTAATTTTCTTATTAGAAAAATGTCTTATCATTCTAACTATTCGGATCCAAAATCATAAATTCACTTGCCAAAATAAATTAAATCCTAAAGGCTCAAATTGAGGAAATCGCTAAAATCTATCTTTGAGATCAGATAACCAATTTGTTCTCTAGGAACACAAATCCAGTTTTAAAAGAACTGTATATAAAATTACGCTTTCCAGAAAACTTCAGAATTATATTCAACATTTTGAAAGATACAGTATTAGATATTGAAAGAGCTGGCTCCTGCTCTTCCAAAATAACTAGATGACTGATCTGAGTCAAGTTATGTAGCTTCTCTAGGCACCAATTTCCTTATTAATACTTATTACTATAGAGTTGAAATGTAATATGATATTTGTTAGATGCTTTGAACATTAAACTAATTAAATATTAGTATAGTAGGAGACCAGATACCTAATCACCAAATATTAAAATATTATATTACCTGTCGAATATTTATGGAATTTTTATTGAAAGCGAAATTTCCAAAAAATTCAAAAAATTCCTTCAGTAGTAATTCTGCAAGAAAAGGAAATAAGAGAAAAGTCTGTTTCAATTCAAAATAGAACACACACACACAAAAACAAAAACAAAAAGAAACAAAACAAAAAAAAAGAAAAAGTAAAAGAAAACACTTACCTAATGGTTCTGTGTTTTTTGAAGGTTCAATTCTATTCAAGTCACTAATGAATGTACAGTTGTGGCCTTCTATTATACATTTATCTTCTGCATCTTACATAAACAAAAACAAAAAAATGTTTCACATTATATTTCAAAGGTATTTTCTACTTCAGAAAATAAATATGTAATTAATAAAAGTTATAGATGAATGTTTCCTATTACTCAGTGTTTATGGATTTACGGTTAATGGGATTTAAAAGATTTAGACTTATACTACAGTGCAAAGAACATTACATTTACTTTAGCCTATTATAATTTTCTACCAACAACCAAGAATTCTTAATCTGATAATCAGTTTTCTAGTTATAAATGAAAATGCAGATAGTGCCCATCTTTCACCGACTCAAATTTTGGCACTATCTTAAATCAATAATATTTCATTATATCTCCATTTCAATTCTTATCACCTTTCTATGCATTGTTTTCAACAATATATCCATGACACAACTAATACTCTAAGAGTTTTGAAAAACAAACAAGTAATTTCTACAATTAAATACTTTAAAGAGATTGTAATTCAGTATAGCAAATTTAACAGCACACTGCATGTAAACATTTCCTTTTTTAACAGTGTGTGTGTGTGTGTGTGTGTGTGTGTATATATATATATCTTTGAAGTAATCATTTCCCTTATCTATCTATCTATCTATCTATCTATCTATCTATCTATCTATCAAACCCTAATACAGAAATAGACCAAATAGTGGAACTAAAAAATTGGTCACTATGACGTGCACTGACCAGGGGCACATGTGGAACTTGGCGGGCATCGGCAGCAGGTGGCAGAGTGTGGAACATGGCGGGCATTGGCCACAGTGGGATGGTGGAGCAGGTGATCAGGGGTGCCAGACCAAGACTGGATAACGGTCACAGTCATCGGGGCGACCCTCTGATGGTTACTGAAAATTTTTTGCTCCTGCGCACTTTGGTGCTGCCAGGCACATTGCAACTGCTGCCAGCGCTGGCCCCACCTGCACCCACAGCCTGTGCCAAGGCTTGCACCGGCTGCTGTCACCAGCCCCAATCGCTCCGTGCCGTCAGTGCGTACCAACGGGTGTGAGCAGGGCCAGCACCGTCAAGAGCATGGGAGCAGCAGTGGGGGAAGCAGAGCTGCCAGCAGACGGGCCCAGGGGCCCAGGGGGAAGGGCCGGGCAGGGGTGCAGAGGATGGGCCGATACCTGCCCCTGTGCCTGCTACAACCTCGCGACCCACAGTTCCTTTCAAAGTACACGAATTCATGCACTAGGCTCCTAGTTATTAATAAATATACAACTATCAAAAAATCCCTCACCATTCTAATCTACCTTCCTTCCAGTGTACAATATTATAGGAAAACTCCCAATTTTCAAAAATTGAATCAACATCCACCTAACCTGAAAGCAAAAATCTCCAAGGTTGGTGCTCCACCCTTCTGTCCCTTTAGCACATATCTGACTGTATTTTGATTGCATATACACTGTCTACTCCCGTATATCAGTCTGGGACTACAAAGGCCACTGTCCTGTCCATGACTGCCTCTCCATCCAGTCGAATCCACAAAAGTGTCTAACATATAGCAGGCACATAACCAATAAAATGAAAAGATCACTGATGTTTGATTTTGAATGCTTATCTATAATTGTCAGATAAATTAGAAAAAGGAACAAGATAAATCAACAGAAAAGGTAAAGTGCTATGTGTTCCTCCCGCCACGCCATATGTTCCAGTAACACTAATCCTCTCTGGGAGGCAGCCTATATGTTAGTTAAAAGCACAGGCTAAAGATGGTGAAATAAACACCTTCTTCCTCCTAAAACATCACTAGAATGAGAGTAAAATGATATAAAATCTTAAACATAGAGAACAGAAAAAAGCAATAAAAAATTTTAAGTTGAAGGACAGATGAAAAAGGAGTAATGACTTAGAGATCTGAAACACTGAATCCTCAACCAGCAGTAAAGAAAGCCAAGAAGAAAACCAAATATACACAAGGCAAAGCCCCTGACAGCTCAGGGATTGGAGGACCAGTTTTGACTGGAAGTTTGATGGTTAAAGAAGTCCTGAAGTCTTCCCCAGATCTCTTTTCTACAAACAAAAATTTAAGTATGCTAATAGCCAGGCCTATTATTTAAAAAAAATAAAAAAATAAAAAGGTACAGGGTCATTTTTAGGGAATATGAATAGCTCAGAAGAAATGACCCAGAGATAATGACATGTAAAGATCCCCCAACATGAAACAGTCCAGCCAAACTGCCTTACAATGAACATTAATCACAGTCAACAAACCCCACTAAGCTCAAAGATTCAAATGAACTTTTTGGTTTCTAACTCTAACATGAGCAGAAATTAAAAGATTATCAGACATCTGAGCAAGGACTCTTAACATGAGACTAAACAAAATAAAATGAAAAGAGGTTAGGCAAAGCAGAATAATTGCTTCTAACTAATTTGAGAAAAGATTTACTTGGACAACTAGTAGCAAGTTAAGAGACTCAATTACTGTAAGTACATAAAAACTAAGCAAACAAAAAACAAATCAACAAGAAAATAAGTAGTATTAAGAATTAACTAAAAAAATATATAAACAGTTGGGCAGAAAAGGAAAGTCGGAACAAATGATACCTTGGACTGGGTTTCCCTTCTCACCTCCCTGGCTGAGTTATGAAGAGGTTTTCCACGTAAAAAGAGGAGGTAGGAAGAAAACCATTGCAGGCAAAGGGACAGAGATGTGAAAAAGAACAAATAACTGAGGACCAGAAAGGTGTTTAGAGAGCTGAAGCTCCTGATTTGCACACCAGAATGAATGCAGAAGAGCAGAAAAAAGAAGCTAACAAAGGGTCCTAAATAAAACACTATAAACTTTGGACTTTTACTTACTTTAGGTTCTAAAGTGGCTAACAAAGTTCCAGAAGTGCTGGAAGGTATTCTAGATATTCATGCTGCCCTCTATTAAAAACAAACAAGCAAGCAAGCAAAATATAGTTTTCTCCTTTTAAAAAAATACAAATAGCCTCTATCTGAATATCAAATATAAAAATTCTTTTATAGAAAATTCAACATTACCAGATTTTCAAAAACTAAGTATCTTTTGCATTTATTGGCAATGTGCTATGTATAGAGAAGCAACTGCAGAAAATAATCTGAAAATTTCTCTTACCATGCTTAAAAATGTGAAAAACTTTAAACAACCAATTTGGTATTTTGAATTTAAAAACTAAACAATTCCAAAACTAGTTTCATCTGTTCTGATACAGTAAGTTGTTAATAAATTCAAATTTATTTTTAAATAGATTTGGAATAAAAACATGTCATTTTAAATTTGTCCATAAATCATATTCTTTTCTCAAGATAATTAGCAGAACTTTAAATCTCTGTGCTAGAGTGAGTTCCTGAGAATATTGTCCATATAACCACTGCACCAAAAATATCACAAAACACATACTAAGTAACCAATATTTAGTGAATGAATAACACCAAACAATGAGATGAGCACAGACATGGATGTTGCCCTTTATTTCAATTTCAAAAGTGAGAAAAATGGCCACTACTCTACCTGAAAACTTCCTACTTTCCATTCACCTATCACACTGAGCTCTTTTTAGAGCTCAATTTCAAGCTATACTTATAGTGTTTACTCGAAAGAAAAGACTATAATTTGAATAAATGAGAAAAAATGGCATAGAGGAGAATTTACAGACTCAGGTAAAAATAAATAGTGTGAAAAAGAGCTAAGATAAAATGTTATAAGAGTAATCATAGTATTGGCAGAAATATGAACACATTAATGGTGGGAGAAGAGGTTGGAGAATTGAGTTGTGGTTAAACAAGTAAAAGTCTTAAAACAAGAAGCTAAGTAAACTAAGGTTTATTCTATAAGGAATAAAATCCCTTTTAAAGTTACTTTAAACTGGGAAGATTTAGAGATGTACTTAAAAAAAACTGCCATGCAGCAATATACAGGATGGGTAAACTACAGAGTGTACATACTACAGTATGTACATTTTGAGTGTATCCCTAAATTAGCTTCCTTCTGGAATTGAGGATTTTAATACTTTATATCTCCTCAAGCAGTCTATCAAAATTTTTAAATATTAATTAAATAGCATAATAATTTTAAAATTTAATAGTGCTTATAAACTTTAAAAAATTTAGTATCTTAAAACATCATGAAACAATTAGAAATCTAGAAATAGCTTCAGACTTAGAAAGCCATCTATGAATGTAATCCACTCAAATGACTTTTCTAGGATATGCTTTTTTTTTCTAAGTTTGGTCAAACTAAGGGAGAGGCTCCAACTGTCTCATGATAGTTGTAAACAACCATGTCAATTGACACAAAAACAAAACAACAGAATTCTCAAAAAATTCTATAGGCCTAAGTTTTGCAAGTCATCTGATCTCATAACCTCTCATGGGTATAAAAAAATAAAAAGCATTTAGAAAAAGTTTAGATTCACAAGGCTTTAAAAATATATAAGAAAAATAACATGACTAATAAACACATATGACATGGTAATTATATTCACTCAAAACGTTAGAAAGAAAATAGATTGCTTCTAGTCTTACCTGCTAGGGTTTTTAAGTAGTCTAGTGTTGGAAGAATAGGGGGTGATCTCCTCTGGAGAAAAAAGATGACCATCATTGTAAGGGAGAAATTTGTAATCCAAGCACCGGGAATACTACTTGTTAATGAATGTGCTCGAGCCCAGCAACGAATACTAAACACCATGGCTCTCACTCGTGAATCCAGGGTACCGTATATATAAAGGAGTTCAGAACTTTTCAAGGCAATCCTTCCAAAGAAAATAATGAAAAGAATTTTCAATCTTTCAAATTATGATTCCCAAAATAGAATAAAACATATACCTAGAAACTTATCTAAATACATCTTCCTATATATGAATATATTCAGAACAATGAGACCAGATAATCAAAAAAGTATGGTGTATATGCAATATAAAACTTAACGTAAATAGCTGAATATAAAATATATCCATTATCATTAAAACAGTCTTCTAAATGTTGGCAATTACAATATACTTCTAAAACTTAGAATTTTTAAATCAAAGTTCTTACACATGACTTAAGTGAAACACACTATATAAGAACTCTTTAATAACTGTCAGTAAAGGCAAGTAAGGGGCTTTGCACATCAGTTTCACATGGTTATCTAGTTCTTTGGTAGACAAATTAGCCTAAAACAGAGGTAAACATTCTACTTATTTTATCAAGTATAAATGTCTTAAAATTCAGTCAAAATTACTTGTCTACTACTTATAAAAGCCAAAACCCACAAGTATAAATTGTCTATTAAGAAATCAAACTTCAGAGCCTATTTTATATGTTTCCTAGTCATAATGTTATAATGCAAAGATTATTAATCACAAATATTTTAAAATATTTAAGCTCCTCCTGATCAAAACATATCTAGTAATTTCTCAAAGAACAGACATAGGGCACTAAATCATTTAACAGTATCCACTTCAAAATGTCTATGAAAGTACCACAGTGCCATTTACTTCCTGAGTTGAAAGAGAATACAAGAAATTTCAAATTAGAAATTCACAGTGATTAAATGTTTTACTACATAGTATGGTGTTCCTACAAATATCACATAGATTCAAAGATTTTTCTGTCAAAAATAATTTTTGTAAAAGCTTTCTGTGTTTTTATGCAACTAGTGATAATAAATGTTATATTTATTTTAGGATAAAAGGTGTTTTATCTATGTAAATGAAGATAAAAAATAAATATCAAATAGTGTGATATCTGATATAAAGAAATAATGTAAAATTAAAAACCTGAAGCATATTAAAACAAATTTTCAAAACCTGTCCCAACAAAACAATGAAAATAACACCATTACAGACAAATATAAATGCCATTTTGTTCTATTTTACATACTAGAAAGAAAATATACTGTTAGAAAATGCAGTATATATTTTTATTTATTTTTTACTCCATGGGCTATTTGAGAAAAATTCAGCAATATTCAGCACTGTCTTATTAGTGAACACTTGAGTTTAATTAAATGAGAATACTAAAGCTAAAAAATAAACTCAAAAGGTTTTCCTTAATGAGAACAAAATAGACTAAAAAAAGTAATGAAAGTATGAAAACTGCTAAAGAAAAACTACATGTCTAAAGCCACTAAGACTACTTTTTGAGACAAGCAAATCCCATATTTGTTTAGGACACAAAGTTGATTATATTTATAGGTAATTCAGAGGTCAAACTCAAGTTACTTCTCTATTTTCTAAGTATACTGAGAAGACTATATAGAGAAAACGATATACTATAGGTACGTACATGCTGTCATCAAGCTGCATTGGTAAGAACAATAAAATACAATTCTTCCAGAAGATTCTGTTATGTATAACATTTTAACACAATACCCTAACATTTTATTTTTGAATGCCCAAAAAAAAAAATAATAATATGCATAGAATAAGAGAGAGTATTTCCTACTTTTCAATCCAAGTGTTCAAATCTTTAAAAGATTATTAAAGCATCCAAAGCCACTAGAAGGTTCTGTTTAAGAAAAACTATGCTAATTCCTTATATTTACATTTAAGATAATAAACTCAAGAGATCATACCTATTGTTAGTAGTCAAATCGCACTGAAATCCAGAGGCCTGATGTGAGAATCTCACCAGCGGACACCGAGCATTTAATATTTTTTGTACACCCACACAACCAGGGCCAAAGTTGTCAAGGCATTCTCCTATCACAGAGAGGATCTTCTGAGTTGCAATCCTTTCTGAAGGAACATTTTTCACTTGAAATTCCATCAGAAAATTTCCTGAAGTCTGAATAATAAAAACATTTGTTAATAGGAGTTTTTTATAAAAAGGAATTTCTTACATAAACTTTTCCAAAAGAATGCTCTAACTCATTCCTGGCAAAAATGAACAAAACAAAAACAAAAACAAAAAAACACAGCCAAAAGCAGACTTGACAGTATATGTACAAGATCAGTAGATCAACACAAGAAAAAGACAGTATAAACAGACTTAATTATTTATAGAAATGTAATACTTAATAACATAAACTGCAAGTTACAGGGGGAAAATTACTATTCAACAAATGAGTCAAGTGACCACTAAAAAAACAAACAAAACTATTTAAATCCTACTTTGGTCCAAAAACCAAAATTTAAATGGAAAAAGTTTAAAAGTTTTATCAATAAAGTACAATTAAGTGAATATTTTGACAATCTCAAGTAGTGAAGGATTCTCTAACCATTACACAAAATTCCAGAGCACACAAAAGAAAAAATATGATTACAAGAAAAACTAAAGTCATCTTAAGGCAAAGTATATATTCATCACTAGATAAAAAATGAAATAAGACAAATATCACATAAAGGTCTACTTTTCCTAATTTAGAAATGGTTTGTACATATGAAAGGGAGGAAAACACACCCAATTCTAAAAATGGGCAAAAAGACTTGAATAAGAAATTAAAAGAACAAAATGGCTAAGAAACATAGTACAAGATGTTCTTGTTTTCTACAAACTGAAGAAACTTTTCACTTATCAGTCTGGCAAAGACAAAAAGGCTGACAGGATCAGCACTGGTAATTGTAAGGAAGCATGTATAGTATTCTAGTGACAGGAGAAGGGAAAACTGAGACATACTTTTAGACAACTTTAATATCTATTGAAATTTTAAATATAATTTGATAGGCATTACAATTCAAGAACATTATCTCAAAGAAAAACTTGTATAAATGAATCAATTTACAAAGCTGTTCACTCACTGCAGCACTGCCTGTGAGGCTCCCTATCCTCAGCCACCCTTTCTTCTAGAACTCATTCCTGAAAGGATCTAGGCTCCAGATTTAATACTGAACTCGAACCATTTCATTACACAGGTATAGAATATTCACCAAAAAATGATCACATATTAGAGAAATACAAAGAAAGACTTTACAATTTCAAAGAATCAATATCAAATAGACCATATTCTTTTGTTTTGTTAATCCTCACCCACTGATATTTTTTCCATTGATTTTTTTTAGAGAGAGTGAAAGGAAGGCAGGAGGATGGAGGGGGAAAGAGGGAAAGGTAGAAGGAGAGGGAGGGAGGGAGAGAGAAGAAATACCAATTTGAGAGAGACACATCAGTTGGTTGCCTCCTACACATGCCCCAACTGAGGCTGGGAATCAAACCTGCAACCCAGGTATGTACTCTTGACTTTAGAAATCAATAGTTGTAATTCCTTTAAAAGATTTTCTCTACTGTTCTATTGTATTAATTTTAGTGATCTAAAGATATTTAATTACCTTGTGAGCATTGAAATTTCCAATTTCATCTAGAGCCAAAAACATATCCAAATCACATCCTAATTTCCCAAAACTGTTCACTGAAGAGCCAAAAGGTCTGACTGCACAGCCTGGAAAATATGCAGCTGCTATGTCTTCAATAAGGGAACAGGTGAGATAGCGGAGCTTCGTGTTCTCCTCTGTGAGCTGGAACTCCTTCAAGAGCGTGTTCAGCTGATCATCGATCTAGCTGGCCAAAACAAAAACAACAAAATATAGAAAATGTACAGGTCATATGAAGTAATTGTCATTTTACTTCTAGAGATTTTAAGATAGTTTTGGAAACCTATCTTAAAAATATGAAATCTTTTTTCTTCAATCTTAAAAGATTTTTTTAAGTACCCCTAAAAAAAGCACTGAGAAATAATACTAGCGAAATAAAGTTAACCTGAATTAAAACTGCTACTTTTCTTAGCAATGAGTACAAAATATTTTCTTAGAAAAATGAAAATAGTAAAATGCTGCAGAGGAGGAGGTCAAAACAATAAAAGATATGGCTGCGGCCACGGAGCGAGCAGGAGGCTTGAATTTCCCTGGTGATGGAGGAAGCCAGGCTTTCTGCACACCCTGGCCAGCCTAAGCCTCCACTCAAGGCTACGAAGTTTCAATTATGGAAGATAAATAAATCCCAGATACCAGGGCCTCTGCTTGGGTCGCCGAGGGGTGTAGCCAGCCTGCAAACAACCACAGGCCCCTCATTCAGGCCGCCCACACCCCAAGGGGACCCTTACCCTGATTTGGGGCACCCTTCAGGGCAAACCAGCCTGCCCCAATCCATGCACCAGGCCTCTGTCCTATCTAATGAAAGAGTAATATGCAGATTGACCATCACTCCCACACACAAGATGGCTGCCCCCATGTGGACACAAGATGGCCACCACTAGATGGCCAGCAGGGAAGGGCAGTTGGGGGCAATCAAGCCTACAGGGTAGAGCAGTTAGGGATGACTAGACCTGCAGAAAGGGAAGGTGAGGATGACTGGGCCTGCAGGGAAGGGCAGTTGAGGAGGAACCCAGCCCTTTAGGGGAGAGCAGTTGGGGGGGGACCAGGCTTGCATGGGAGGGCGGTTAGAGGTGACCAGGCCTGCAGGGGAGGGCAATTAGGGGCAATCAGGCTGGCAGGGGAGCAGTTAGGAATTAATCAGGCTGGCAGGAGAGTAGTTGGGGGTGATCAGGCTAGCAGTAGTCAGGGGCAATCAGGAAGGCAGGCAGGCAAGCAGTTGGGAACTAGCAGTCTTAGATTGTGAGAGGGATGTCTGACTGCCCATTTAGGCCAGATCCTCTGGGACTGGGTCTAAACGGGCAGTCGGACATCCCTTGAGGGGTCCCAGATTGGAGAGGGTGCAGGCTGGGCTGAGGGACACACACGAGCCCTCCCACCCCCCCATGCACGAATTTCGTGCACCAGGCTTCTAGTCATATTATATATACATATATACATATATAATAATATATAGTGTGTATCTATACTAATAATAGAGGAATATGCAAATCGATCAGGATGCTGTCACATAACAACCAATCAGGATGGGGCCGGGGCAGGGCCATGGCAGAGAGCTCTCAGCACACCTATGCCGGGGGTCCGAAGGGCATGGAGAGGAAGGGAAAACTGATAGACAGTTAGGGGGATTAGGCCAGGAGGGGAGAGCAGACAGGCAATTAGGGGTCTAGGCTGGCAGGGGGGAGCAGTTAGGCCAGCAGTGAGGGGGACCAGGCAGGGAGGGGATAGCAATTAGGGGGATCAGACCAGGAGGAGAGAGTAGTTAGGGGCATCAGGCAGGTGAGCAGTTAAGAGCCAGTGGTTCCGGATTGCAAGAGGGATACCAGAGGAGAGGGTGCAGGCTGGGCTGAGGGACTCCCCATTACCTGTGCATGAATCTCATGCACCAGGCCTCTAATATATATGTGTGTATGTATGTGTGTGTGTGTGTATGTTTATGTATGTGTGTGTGTGTGTGTGTGTGTGTGTATATATATATATATATATATATATATATATATATAGCATCAGTCATACACACACACACACACACACACATATGCACACATATATATGACTGATGTTAAAATGATTACTTTTTGAAAGTGCACACTGGAATTAAATACTTAAAATACAAATCATAGCCTTAAATGCCCATATTTGAAAATAAGAATAAACTGAACAAAGCATTCAACTCAAGAAAAAAATAAATAAAAGCAAAGGAAATATAAAAGGTTAGAAGTAAAATTTATAAAACTAGAAAATCTAACCACACAATATTATTTTTATAAGTAAAACCATGAAATGATTCTTTGAAGGGACTAGCTAAACCTCTGATAAATCTTAAGTAAAAAGAAAACTAACAAACATTATTAGAGAGCTGAAACAAAAGAGATAAAACAAAAAGAGATATTTTAAAATTTGGAGAACAATGCCACCTACAAATTTGTCATTTTGTTGACAGAAGAAAGAAAGCCCAAAATTTTGGAAGAATATGGCTACTTCTGAGGAGTACAAATGGGGTATGGGGTCAGGAAATGGGGAAGAATTACTTTCATTTTTCAGTCAACTTATTCTGTAATTTGAATATTTAATAAGAACTTATAACATAAAATAATGCAAACATGTTTTAAAGTAGGGTAAGTATATCTAGAAACTTACACTTTCAGCATCACAAAGTAACTCAAAGAGTTTCTTGCTTGAAGGAGGCGACTGATTACAACGTGGCATATATGGCTGTTCCGAAGTCTGGTCTGAGGAATTCTTCAACTTTAAATTGAAGAAACGTGATCTGAATGGAATTGCAGCTTCTGTGCCCATGCTCGGAGTACGAGTTAAATTCTGCAGTGAAGCTACACTTTCCTTTTGACAGAATTCTACAACAGCATAAAGACCCTGTATCAAAAACATAAAAAATAGAACACATTTCAAAATGATGTTTATCACAGTAATATTTTAGTTCATACTTCAAAGCAATTACTATAAGGTGAGAAAATATTAATTTTTAAAATTTAAAAATGATAGGCTTCTAATAGGAGCATTGGTTTTAATCGTTATAAACAGAAAAGAAAAGCAATATTATTAAGTGATAATAGAGAAGCTGAAAAGAATGTTAAAATACAAAATGAAAAAGCAAAACAAAGATCCCTCCCACTGGTCTTTATCCCTAAAACAATGGGATTATTTGAAATATTCAAATAATGAAATCCTTCAATTATAAGCAATTACAGAATTGCTTATAATTCTGTAATCCTCCTATGAGGAGTTCTATTCTCATATTTCAAACATAAATCTCCTAGAGAAATTCAGATAAAGAAAAATGTAGATTAGCCAAAGAGAACTTAACTTTACCATATGCAAAGATGCAAAGGAGCTAGAAATAAAAATAATAACTTCATTGTTTTTCAAATACTTACAAAGCTTTCAAAGAAGAAATGATTATTTATAGGTCCATGTTGGGATAAGTACTTGAGAAACTTTTTTTCACTGGTTTTATTTGGGCAAAGTATTAAAATAGTCCGTTGTGCCTGTTCTCGTCTTTCTTTCTGTACCTCAGAGAATCTCTTTTTGGGAGTCCTTTCCTCAGAGCCTATGAACGAGACAAAACCAATTTCAACACATGTACACGTGTAAAATTTAAAGCATATTTTTGATCAAGTACATAAAAATTTTACATCTAACTAAAACCAACTTTATCCTAATCTCATCTTCTTCTCTTCTAAGGATGAAACTATACTACTTCAATTTCATTGTACCACTTTCTTTTGACTATCATTAAAACTGCCCACTTTCCACGCTGGCCAGGTAGCTCAGTTGGTTAGAGCACTATTCCCAATATACCAAGATTGTAGGTTCAATTCCTGGTCAGGACACATAAAAGAATCAATCAATGACTACATATATAAGTGGAACAACAAATCAATGTTTCTCTCTCTTTGCTCTCCTCTAAAAATCAACCAATAAAATTTTTTAAATGCTTCAACTGTCCACTTTTTTTAATTTTTAATTTTTATTAAGGTATATGTGTACATATCTTACCATTGCTCCCCCCACCCCACTCCCATATCAACTGTCTACTTTCTATTTTTTTTTTTTTATCCTCACTTGAAGATATTTTCCCATTGATCTTTAGAGAGAGTGGAAAAGAGAAGGAAAGACAGAGAAATATTAATGTAAGAGAAACACATCCATTGGTTGTGCCTGACTAGGGCCCGGGCTGGGGAAGAGGCTGCAACCGAACCGAGGTAAGGTACTGTCCTTTACCGGAAATGAACCCGGGGCACTTTGGTCCACAGGCCAATGCTCTATCCACTGAGCCAAACTGGCTAAGGCTGCTTGATTTACTATATACAATGCCTAGTGCTAAAAAGAGTTCCACAAAATTTTAAAAGCAAAACCAGGAAAGTAAAGTCACTCACTTAACATTTCACAAATACACACATAAAAAATCTGTGTAAGTTGTAACATCCCATAGCCTAAAATTATTATAAGCTTGAGTTTAATGAGACAATGAGGTTAATGTAGTGAAATAAGTTATTACAGTTTTTCTTTGTCAAGGGTCTGGATTAGGCTTAAACAATTAACAATTATCAACTATCATGTGCTCAGGGAAATCAAAGAACTTAAAACCTAGTTGCTGCTCATAAAGAGTTCATGATAATTTTATTAACGAAAGAGGGTAAAAATTTTCTTTTATTAAAATCCACTCTAGAGATTAGGGGTTTTACAATCACAGGAAATGAAGAAAACAAGAGCTATGATAGTCAAGAATAAAATATTACTAATCCACTGACCACAAAGAAAAGATCAATAAATAAACCAGATGTCAAGTCAACCAAGTATAAAGAAAAAGAAAATCATTTAAGTTAAAGCCAAACACTGAATCTTAGGAATTCATTTTTTAATCCAACATATTTAACTTATAGTTGGATGGCTTAAAAGTGCTTCTCTAAAAATCTGGAATGGTATAACCTAGAGGTTATAATCCACCATATCTAGTATCAACACCCTCAAAAAATTTCAGAGATTAAATTAAAAATGTAACTGATGTATTGAAATCAAGAGGCTTTTAACATCATCTTCTTTCAAAAGATTGTTATAAAACTAAAAGATAACCCGGCCAGCATGATTTAGTGGTTATTGACCTATGACCTATGAGCCAGGAAGTCACAGTTTGATTCCCAGTCAGTGCACAGGCCCAGTTTGTAGGTCTGACCCCCCCAGTTGGGGGGTGAGAGGGAGATCATGCAGGAAGCAACCAATCAGTGATTCTCTCTCCCTCTTCCTTCCTCTAATATGCAAATTGACTGAACAGCAGAACAACTGGTCGCTATGACACACACTGATCACCAGGGGGCAGATGATCAATGCAGGAGCAGGCCCCTGGTGGTCAGTGTGCTCCCACAGGGGAGTGCTGTTCAGCCAGAAGCACAGCAGCAGCAGTAGTGGGAGCCTCTCCCACCTCCACAGCAGCACTAAAGATGTTCGACTGACAGTTCAGGCCCGCTCCCCAGAGGAAAGCCATCAGTTGGATATCCCCTGAGAGCTCCCAGACTGTGAGATGGTGCAGTCTGGGCTGAGGGAACCCCCGCCCCCAACACCCCAAGTGCACGAATTTCATGCACAGGGCCTCTAGTAAAAATATAAAAAAAAACACACACAAAAAACTGATAAAGGAAATACTGCAAATACACTATACTTTGATTTCAGCAAATTCCAAAACATCCTCATAGATAATTAATCAAAAGCTCTTAGAATTTTTCAAATTCAGGCAAAAGATTATTTTTATTCTTCCCTTTGAAGAAAGCTAAGAGCACATGGACATGGAGCTACTGGTGGCAATGATCCCCACCATCAACATCCCCAAATAGAAGAATCTGAGATAATAAAGCCACCAAACTACAGCTGAGGAAAACAATACCTCACACTGACCACATCCATCCAGTCAACCTTAAAGCAGCTGTTTTTTTTTCCTGGAGTTTGCTTACATGGGTTGGTATTCCTCCCTTTTCTTCTGAAGATAATTTAAATTAGTCTCTGTCATCTGCACCCAAGAGTCCTGAATAATATACTACATAATTTTTATTCTAAAATCAGGTTTCTTTCCATCACTCACATGAAAGCTATGTTAAAACTAAGATTACCATGGAAATGGGAAATTAGTAGATTTTAGCCCATTATAAACATTTTTCAACCATTAGAGACTGACCAAAAATGAAACTGCCTGATTTATGAAAGTGTCTTCTTTGTTACTAGAAAATGTTACTAGGAATGTTCTGGAAATAAGTTCTCACACTGAATAAAAAGTGGAATTAATCCTTTCAATTATAAAATTATATGCTTCTAAGTGAGTATAACGTGTAGTTATCTTCTCTTTTTAAAACTGAAGGAGTTCAAATGAGGATTTTATTACTTGTCCCTGAATGCTTAGCCAGTTATATTATCCTAATATACAAAATGAAACACATTTCCTAAGAAAAACAATAAAGCTGTATTAAGTTAGTAGTCTTGGAATCAGAAGGTTTTATTCTTATCTTAGCTACTGAACAGCTGGGTAATTTTGAACTAGCCACTTGAACTAGCTGTTTCCTCATCTTTAAAATAAATAACAATTCCTCCCATATCTACTTTAAAGATTTTTATTTTTCAGAGCACACGAAAATACTCTGAAACTTAAGCCACTATACAGATGTTAAATTATAATAGCTTGCTTGGCATAATCCTTAAATTTTCAGAGTTCCTTAAGAATTTTTAACACAAGCAGCTTCTAAGTCCAATCCAATCAGTATTCCAGTGAAATGTCATATTCAGTAGTATTTCTCACTGTCCATAGGATTCTTTCATACATTCTGAGGAGAGCAAGCCTATCATTTATTTTATGGGAAAATACTTTGCTTGTTTAGCCTGCTTCAAAACTGTTCCCAGAAACAATTTCATACCTTAAAACTACAACTCCAAGAAATATAAGAAGTCGACACATTTTGTTTTCAGCTCCACTTGAGATCTAAACTCAGCTATGTGACACTGCACAAGGCATTCAGCTCTCTGAGTCTCCTGCTACATCCGTAAAACGGATCCACGGACACATTTCTTGCTAGATTGTTTTAAGGATTGTAAATATGTACACAATTCTTGGATTATAAAGGGGTTCGATGGTAGTGGGCTTGTCCATACACAAACACAAATGGTTAGAATGTCTGCAGGGCAATAGCCTGTTCCAGTGAATGCATATCTGTTACCAGATTTATTTTGCTCAAAACGGATATAGTAATAAAGGCAACAGCAGTAGACTTCACAGGCAGAGCCTACATGTGGGAGCCAGGGATCGTGGTTATCCATCAAGACTGTACACGTGGCCTCCATCAGCGATTTGTATCAAAATCAGAAACAACTGTGAGCCATGAGGTAGCCGACTGGTATGTGGCGGCTTCTGTGTTATTTTTGGGAACGTTATTTCGCCAGACTGTAAAATACTAGCAAGTTGTATTCCTGGCCTGAACTTCAGAGGTTTAAACAATTGCTCTGCGGTGCACGGGAGTCCGCATAGACGTCGCACACCCACCGCCACGAGCGACAGGGGCCGCCCGGGCCCCCCTCCCCCAGCGGAACCAGAGGACACAGGACGCAGCCTCACCCTATCGCCGCAGGTTCCACGGCGACTCCACGGGCCGCACGTTCGCCCGCGATCCCAGTCTCTTCCCCCTTCCCTCGCCCGCGGTCGGACCGGGCTACAGAGCAAACCGAGGACACGGCGCCATCACCTGTCTCCGTGCTCCCGGAGGGCTGCCGCTCCCTCCTGGCGTCTGCGGCCGCGGTTCCCGGGCAACTCAGAAGCCTGTGAATTGGACGCAGGATTTGACTTCTCCGCGTACACAGGGGTAAGCGGCTCAACAGGCCCACGCGGGCCGCCATGGTGAGAGCGGTGGCGGCGCTAAGACGAAAGGACAAGCACTTCCGCGCAGGCGCGCTGAGGCGAAAAGAACGGGTAGTCTAGAGGGCCAAACTAGGCGAAAGGCGTTTGCTTACAAAAGAAGAAAGTCAGCCCGGAATGAAAACGCTTGAGCTTTCAAACACGTTTTATTTCCACTTTCCCACGGTTCTGGGAAAGAAGACCCAATAGCCGGCGAGGCTCAGTTTTCGAGCGTGGCCCTGCACCAGCAGGTCGCTGGTTGGACTCCAGGTCCGGGCATGTGCCAGGGCTTTAGGCTCCAACCTCTTGGATGATTCTCATAGATGTTCTCTCTCTCTCTCTCTCTCTCTCTCTCTCTCTCTCTCTCTCTCTCTCTCTCTCTCTCTCTCTCTCTCTCTCTCTCTCTCTCTCTCTCTCTCTCTCTCTCTCTCTCTCTCTCCTTCCCTCCCTCTCTCCCTCTCTCTCCTTTCCGCTCTCTATAAAATCAATAAAAAGATATATATTTTTTAAAAAGGAGACCCAATAGTTGGAGCCATGAGTCGTGAAAAGAAACAGAACAAGGTCGTGAAGAAGAGGTACTGAGTTGGGAATTTATACTTTGGGTGTAAATAACAACAGTTTTTCTTTACCACATACTGTTCTAAGTTCTTTCATGTATTGATTCTTAATCCTTAGGGCAACCCTAAGAGGTTACAACTGTTAATAATCTCTATTTATTTATGGGAGATTAAGGCATGTGCAAGTTAATATTCACAGTCACAGTCAGAAATAGGCGGTAAACCTGGGTTGTGTGGTACAGGCTTAATTTTTCTTTTCTCATGTAAACAAGTTTAATGAGATTTAATTTATATACTAAACAGTTCACCTCTTTAGGTATACATTCAATAGTTTTCACTTTTAGTACAGTCACAAAATTGTACAAAATGCACCACAGCCATTTTACATATCACCTCCAAAAGAAGCCTTGTGCTCTTACCTATCATCCAGGCCCCATCACCACACTCCCCCCAGCCCTTAATAAACTTATCTGCTTTCTGTCTCTATGGAATTGCCGTACTATACTTTTCATATAAATGGAATCATGCAATATGTTGTTTCTTAGCGACTAGTTTCTTTCAAGGTTCATCCATGTTGCAGCACCTGACAGTATTTCGTTTCTTTCTATGGCCAAGTAATATTTCATCACTTGGTGTTAAAAGGTATATTGAGGCATATTAAAAATGTTGAATTTATTTGAGCAAAAATTATTTTAAATCGGGGAGTATCCAATCTTGCAGATAGAAAGGAGCTCTTAAGAGCTGTACAAAATGAAAGACTTTTTATAGGCAGAAGGGAGGGACAATAAGGAAGTTATACTAGCAAAAAAACAGGTTGGTTATTACAAAGTTTCTTTACTTTAGGGAAGGGCTGCAGGGATCTATCAGGCAGATTACTTAAATAGTGCTGATCAGGCGATGATTGGTTTGATTCCATTTCTAGGGGAGCTGAAACTGTAATTAAGTTGGTTTGGTGACTTGGGGCTTAGCATAAGCAAGTCCATTTTGGACCTGTTGTCTTGTTTACAACAATGGATATGCCTCAATATGGTTAACCATTCCTCCATTAATGTACATTTGTATTATTTATATCTTTTTGCTATTATAAATAATGTTGCTATGAACAGTCATGTGTAAGCTTTTGTGTGTTTTTTTAATGTATTTTATTGATTTTTTTACAGAGAGAAAGAGAGAGGGATAGAGAGTTAGAAACATCGATGAAAGAGAAACATTGATCAGCTGCCTCTTGCACACCCCCCACTGGGGATGTGCTCGCCACCAAGGTACATGCCCTTGACCAGAATTGAACCTGGGACCTTTCAGTTTTCAGGCTGACGCTCTATCCACTGAGCCAAACCAGTTTCAGCTGAACATATGTTTTCACTTCTCTTGGGTGGAAGGGCTTGATAATATGATAACTCTATATTTAATATTTTAAGGAACTACTAGGCTAGTTTCCAAAGCGGCTGCACATTTTCATTCCCACTAGTAGTGTTCAAGGGTTCCAATTTCTGTACATTATTACAAATGCTTGTTATTTTCTGCATTTTTTAAAATCATAGTCATCTTAATGGCTATGAAGTAGCATTTCACTTCATTGATTTGATGAATGTTGAGCTCTCCTCATGTGAGTTTTGGCTATTTGTGCATTTTCTTTGGATAAATGCCTTTTTTTCAGAGCAGATGTTTTTAAATTAGATTATTTCTCTTTTTATTATTGTTTTAAAAGTTTGTTATATATTCTGGATATAAGTACTTTATCAGGTATATGGTTTGCAAATACTCTATCCCATTCTGAGGGATGAATTTCACTTTCTTGATGGTCCTTTGAAACAAAGTTAATTTTGATGATATCCATTTATCTACTTTCCCTTGTATTGCTTATGCTTTTAGTGTCATATTTAAGAAACATTGCCCAATTCAAGATATGAAGATTTATACCTATTTCTAAGATTTTTTTTTTAGCTCTTACATTTAGGTCTTTGATCCATTTTGAGTTAATTTTTGTATATGATATGAGGTAAGGGCCCAACTTCATGTTTTTGGACATGTATATCCAGTTGTCTCAGTACTATTTGTTTAAAGACTCTACTTTCTCCATTAAATGGCATTGTCATACTTATTGAAATCAGATGATCATAAATAGACACCTGGGTTTATTTCTAGATTCTCAACTCTATTTCATTGACCTTTATGTCAACTCTTATTCCAGTACACACTGTCTTAATTACTGTAGCTTTGTAGAAAGTTTTAAATCAGGAAGCGTGAGTTCTCAAACTTTGTTCTTCTTTTTCATAATTGTTTTGGCTATTAAGGTTCCCTGCATTTTCATATGAATTTTAGGTTGAACTTGTTAGTTGTTGCCAAAAAAGCAGGTAGGATTTTGATAGGGATTGGGTTGAATCTGTAGATCATTTTCAGTAGTATTGTCATCTTCACAATATTAAATCTTCTAAAACATAAACATGGGAGGTTCTTCCATTTATTTCATTCTCTAACAATGTTTTTCAGTTTTCAGTGTATAAGCCTTACAATCTTATTACATTTATTTCTAAGTATTTTTTTCTTTGTGACACTATTATAAACAGATTTGTTTTCTCGATTTTGTTTTTGGATTGTTTACCCAAAGTTGTAGAAATACAATTGATTTTTGTATATTGATATGATATCTTATAATCTTGCTGACAACCTTGCATCCCTGCAATAACCCCACTATGTCACAGTGTATAATCCTTTTTACATGTTGCTGCATTCAGCTTGCCTCTTTTTACCATATTCAGCATAGTCTGTCCTCACCCCACTGGCTAGAATGTTGTGATCATGCCATTCTTTTTTTTTTTTTCTTCAAAACATTTCAGAGATTCCTTTTCCATTCTATTATTTATGAAAAAACAATTTGTAATAAAAATTAAAATGTAAGCCATGTCTGAGTTTCTTTGAACCACTTGAAGAACAAGCTTTAAAAATGTCCTTCAGATAGTTTGGCAATATTTATCACAATTAAAATGCACCTAAGCTTTGACCCAGTAATTCTACTTCTAGAAATGTATTGTGTAGATATACTTGCTTAGTCTTGCAGCTGATTCCTTATAGCAAGAATTAATAACCTAAATAAATAAGGAGGCTCTTTATTTTTATCTGGAGCCATCTTCAAAATGTATTATTAAAATTGCTGCCCAGCCAGCATGGCTCAGTGGTTGAGCGTCTACCTACCCTGTTTCCCCGGAAATAAGACAGTGTCTTATATTAATTTTTTCTCCCAAAGTTGCGCTAGGTCTTATTTTCAGGGGATGTCTTATCTTTCCATGCGCTAGGTCTTATTTTTGGAAGATGTTTTATTTTCGGGGAAACATGGTATGAACCAGGAGGTCATAGTTCAATTCCTGGTCAAGGCACATGCCCTGGTTGTGGGCTTAATTCCCAGTATGGGGCATACAGAGGACAGTGGATCAATGATTCTCTCTCATCATTGATGTTTCTATACCCTCTCCCTTCCGCTCTGAAATCAATAAAAAATATATTTTTAAAAAATTGTTAAGTAAAACAAACAAAACACACACATACACACACACAAAACACATTTTCTTGTATGCATACAGACTATCTCTGGAAGGATATACTAATAAACTGGTAGCCTTGTTTGATTTTGGAAGTGAAAATGAAAGGCTGGAAGACAAATGTGGAAAGATAATTACTATACCTTTGAATTTTTAAATATTTTAAACATATAATTCTAAATTTTATTGATTTTTTTAAAAAAATACATGTTTTTATTGACTTGAGAGAGAGAGGGAGAGAGAGGAATAGAGAGAAATATCAATCTGCTGCATTGAACTCGCAACCCAGGCATGTGTCCTGACACAGAATCATTCCAGCAATTACTTGGTTCATGGGTTGGCACTCAACTACTGAGCCGTATCAGCTGGACCTAAATTTTATTTAAAATACTTATTAATTAAAAATGTGAAATGCTTTTATTTTAATTATTTTGTCTCTGTTCTCTAAATTCTCTATATTGAACATATGTTATTTTCATATTGGGAAAACTTCAAGGAGATTATTTAATACTTTTGGAAAATGTAATGTTATTTTTCCATGTATAAGATGCCCCCCACTTTTCCAACCCAAAATTAAGAAATCATTGAATTTTTACAGAGAGGAAGGGAGAGGCATAGAGAGAAACATCGATGAGAGAGAAACATCGATCAGCTGCCTCTTGCACTGGGGATGTGCCCGCAATATTTTAAACATTTTGCTGGTTTTCCTCTTAAGACCTTCTTTTTTGGCATCTTAAGGAGTTGTTCTTCCTGTTTTCTCCATTGCCTGATCATACACTCAATGGGAGGAGGTCCAAATTGTCGCTCTGCAGCTCTGTTTCCATGCTCTTTTGCATAGCTGATTACCTTCAGTTGAATTTTGCAGAGTAAGACAATCGCTTACCGGTATGTATCTTTATATTTTTTGAC